TTATGTCCGTTAAAAACACATTTCTGGTGGATTTTTACTAAAACATTGATTAAAGGCACACAAATTGTAAATTTTCATCTCTCAATGACTCTCAAGCTATGGAACTTACCAAACTTTGGCGGTCATTTTCTCATTAATTTTACCTCTGAAACCAGGCAACCCTCCCCTCTTTCAGTCACAAATATCTCGACTTCTATTCAACATAGATGGATATTTTTTTTTAAATTGAAATATCGTCAAACGAACAAACTTTCAGTTGACAGCAATCGCTCGTCGTACCCTAAAATTGACGAGTGCCTGATTCCACTTTGCCGTGACACATATCTTTTCAGGTTTTCTGGTGGACATGACTGGAAGCTATGACTACGACATGTATTGTGGAGGTACGTTGTGGTGTGGTGCGTGGTGTTTGGTGTGATGTGGTGTGTGGTGTGTGGTGTAGTGTGATGTGGTGTGGTGTGGTGTGGTGTGGTGTGTGATGTGTGGTGTGGTGTGGGTGGTGTGATGTGGTGTGTGGTGTGGTGTGGTGTGGTGTGGTGTGGTGTGGTGTGGCATAGCATACCGTTGTGTGGTGTGGTGCGGTGCAGTGTGGTGTGGTGTGGTGTGGTGTGGTGTGGTGTGGTGTGGGTGGTGTGATGTGGTGTGTGGTGTGGTGTGGTGTGGCATAGCATACCGTTGTGTGGTGTGGTGCGGTGCAGTGTGGTGTGGTGTGGTGTAGTGTGGTGTGGTGTGGCATAGCATACTGTTGTGTGGTGTGGTGCGGTGCAGTGTGGTGTGGTGTGGGTGGAGTGGTGTGTGGTGTGATGTGGTGTGGTGTGATGTGGTGTATGGTGTAGTGTGGTGTGTGGTGTGTGGTGTGGTGTGGTGTGTGGTGTGGTGTGGGTGGTGTGATGTGGTGTGTGGTGTGGGTGGTGTGATGTGGTGTGTGGTGTGGTGTGGTGTGGGTGGTGTGGTGTGGTGCAGCGTGGTGTGGTGTGATGTGGAGTGGTGTGGTGTGATGTGGTGTGTGGTGTGGGTGGTGTGGTGTGGTGTGATGTGGATGGTGTGATGTGGTGTGTGGTGTGGTGTGCTGTGCTGTGCTGTGGTGTGTTGTGGTGTGGTGTGATGTGGTGTGATGTAGTGTGATGTGGTGTGGTGTGGTGTGGTCTGGTGTGGTGTGGTGTGGTGTGGTATAGTGTGATGTGGTGTGGTGTGGTGCGGAGTGGTGTGGTGTGGCGTGGTGTGGTGTGTGGTGTGGTGTGGTGTGTGGTGTGGTGCGGTGCGGTGGGATGTGGTGTGGTGTGGTGTGGTGTAATGATACAGTATAAATATACA